GAACATCATACAAGAACTACTTGTTTTTCTATACTCTAAATTGAGAATTTTTAGTCTATTTGAATTTTAGGGCATTCTTTGGGAAAAGTCTGATGTAACAAGGGAAAGCTACAAATTACAAGAATTATCAGAACATCACCTTATGAGGCGAACTACAAGATAAAGTTGTGGCTTACTTTCTCTGTTAAGAGTTAATGAATTGGAGATTATTTTTCTTGAAGGGTGATTATGTTGATTATATTGTCTTTTATTTATACAGGAATGCAAACAAATGGAAAGGGGTAGTACTATGAGTTATTCCAAAATACCAGATTGGGGAATCCCATAATTCTCGATTTTCAGGTTTGTGCTGTGTTGCATGGTATATTTTGCTTCTATTAATTATAATTTATATAAAGGAAACAAGGTGTTTATATGAGCTTAGTTTGTTTTCCTTATTTGATGAAAACCAATATACTCATAGATGGACATTCCTCATAGTTCACATAGTTAGTTTTGTTTTTTTGTTTAATTAATGACTTTTGTGTGTCTGTATCTATATCATTGATTTTTTTATTTTTTGGGTGCAATGTATCATTGATTTCATGTGATAAGATCAGTTCTTTTTTGACATGTATATATATATATATTGTAATTCAGATTCTCTCATCAGGCCCAATCTTATGATTATATTGTCAGTGTTGGTTTGGAGAAAAAAAAAAAGGATTTTTGTTCTTTACTTTGTTTTGATAATCTTTCAATCTACTTATGATTTATGTCATTCCTTTTAGGCATCTTGGAATTTATTCTTGGTGGTGGAAAATGTATTTATACCCAGAATTGGAACAATTTGTGATCAAAGCTTAAAAAGCAAGTACTGACTTATTCAAATGTATGCTTCATCTTATGTTTTGATATTGCTATGCCTTGCTTCAGGGCAGCCCATTTGTTATTCTCCCTAAAACTTTTCTCTCTCTCTTTTCCTCTAAAAGCTGGAGTTCTATCTTTCCCTCTTAATTCTTAGATGGAGTTCATTATACTATTGTGCCAAAATATAATGCAAGAGATACTTGTTTCGAAAATATTTTACATTGCTCTGATATTGCTTCATCTAGTCGGATTACATTGAGAGGTGAGTATAATTTTTTAGTATCTTCATCTTTTTTAGTGTTTTGAATGTAAAATATTTTTTTTTTCTTGATGTGCTTTAAGGGCCTCCAATTGCGGGAGCTTTACTATTCTTTTAATTCTTTGTTCTCAATGAATTGAATGTAAAGTATTTCTACCTAGCTTTGCTAATCTTGAAGTGCACCCTTATTGTGATTTCCTGTATTAAATATCTAAATGTCTCATGGGTGAAAACCAGGTAAAGAGCATTGTTGAGAGATAAAACAGATAATCACACAACTTGCTCTGTAAGTATGTTTTTCATAATTTAATTTTCAAATCACTAAAAGCACTTAAATTTTTTTTTTTTTTTAAACAAACTACTGTTGCTGTGTTGCTCTTGAGTTGGATGTTGCTTGTGTTGAGTCTTTTCCTTGGGTTTGACCTTGCAGTTTGCTGCCTTGCTTCACCTTGATTGTTGAAAGTTGAACTGGTTTGGTCCCAATCATCTGTGGGTTATGGTTTGGTCCCAAGATTTTCATTTGTTATTAAAAATAATTAAAATGCAGCATGTTCCTAATACAGATTTGCATGTATGCATCCAACCAATTCAACTTGCTTTGTTTTGTACCTAAGAAACAAAATCTAGGACAAAAAAACACAACCATAAATGATTAATATTATATATATAAGATTAAAATCTGATGATAGTTGCAGTTGTTGCTTGTATAATGCTCATACTTCAAGGTCGTTTGCCTATTTGTCCTCTTATGATTAGGCTTCTTAAATACGATATTCTATAGCTATCTTCACTATATATACCAATTGAAATTGATCATTGTTTTGAGACAAGAAGAAAAGGGTACCATAAACTTAGTATTCCCAAACTTCATCATTCTTCATTTTTCTTCTTCTAGTTAAGGAAAAAGTTACTTTTCTCCTGGTGATTATTATGCTAATTCTTTCACTTGAACCTTTGTTGCAGATCTCAAAATCATATGAATTCTTATTATAGCACAGGATTATTGTTTGAATGCATGCATGGATTCAAACCCTAAAATTCATGAACTCTCATCAATTAATTAAATATTTATAATTTTGGTTTAAAGCTTACATAATGATATTCCCAAAGTGACAGCTGAATCTAAGGATGAGACTCCAATTTCATGTTGAGGGGATGCATTGATATTTTACCTTTTTTTTTTTTTACAAATATAAGTTCGCCTTTAAGGTCTTGTGGTTTTCTAGAATTTGTTAGTTCCACAATTTTTGTCTTTTAAATTTGTTTTGTGTCTTTTATTTATTAGCGCCTATGTGTGGTTGTGCCACTTTAGTGGTTTTTTTGATTATTTTCATTGGTGGGTTTGTTGAATTTTGTGTTTCCTTGATTTGGTTTGAGTGTTTGGATGAAGTGTGGTGGATATGATTTTCATAACAAAAAATCTGCTCTCTCTTCCTCTTGACCCCACCCAGCTGTTGCTTCTTCTTCTCTCTCTCTCTGTCTCTCTTCCTTTGTCTCTCTCTGCTTTTGCTTCTTTTACCAGACCAGGGCAAAGCTTTTCATCCTCTTCACTTTATTGTCTTGCTTTTTCTTTTTTCCTACTTCGATAATTGTTGTTTTTGAAACTTGAATGTTCATATTATATATATTTGTTTGTTTAATGTTAGTGTTTTAATGTTGGATGCTCTATTTTTTGGTTTTTGAAATTCTTTAAATTTTTGCTTAGTCCATTTCCAATCCTCGCCTATACTTTTACTCAAAATTATGCTTTTATATATCATTTTGAATTTCTATATTGGTGTGTAAGCTAAAAGCAAGACATTGAAGTACATAACTAGAGGAGCAAACTAAGCCTTTTTTTAACATATTAAATTTAAATTTTGTTCATTAATTGATATCTGTGAAGCCTCTAGTTAGAATTAAGAGGAGCAAATAAACTATCTTCTAAAATCACAAATCAGAGTAGTGGGATTCATGTAAACAGTAACACTCTGAACGTACTCTGTTGAAAATGCCAGACTTCTGACATTTTGTACCTGAATTTAAGAATTGTGCAATAAAATGCCATTCCTGTTTGCTTCTTTTACTTTATTTTAATACTGCTTTCCTGTGCTATACTAGTTGCCTTTCTAAATTGGTACCATGGTGGTGGTCAACGTGAGTGATTTTGATATACATTCTTACTGACCTATACAGAATGTACATCATTGTCGAGCATTCCTCGTGGTAAATGGTATTGAACATGTTCCAAAGGGAGAAGTTTGTGGAGCATAATGCTAATGCTGTAGCAGCTGGAAGAGTTTTAGGAGTTGATCTTATTGAACAGATAACCAAGCGCTGCATTCGAATTGTTAAAAATCCAGAAGATGCTAAGGTCATTGCATGTGTTTTGTGCAGGTACTGGTTACGCTATGCAAGATTAATTGTCGATCCTTAGATTTTCTTCATGATTTTTATTGCTATTCATTCTGAGTCTAACATTGTGACATGTTCCAAAGGGAGAAGTTTGTGGAGCATAATGCTAATGCTGTAACAGCTGGAAGAGTTTTAGGAGTTGATCTTATTGAACAGATAACCAAGCGCTGCATTCAAATTGTCAAAAATCCAGAAGATGCTAAGGACATTGCATGTGTTTTGTGCAGGTACTGGTTACACTATGCAAGATTAATTGTCGATCCTTAGATTTTCTTCATGATTTTTATTGCTATTCATTCTGAGTCTAACATTGTGCTTATATTAAACTTTACCTTTAGTTAATATCATCCTTTATTTATTTATTTATTTATTTTTAATGTTCTTCATTTGTTGGTTTATCTAGAGGTTGATGTTTTTCAATCTGCTTTATGCAGAGGTTATCAGTTTGGAAAATCTGGATTTGGTCCACACACAGTAATAGTTTGTGATCAGGTACTCTCTGTTCTTTATGTTATGTTAGGTTTTATTTCTTGGCAATCCCGTTTGACAAAACTCCTTTGAGTTGTAATTTTATTCGCATTTTTATTTCAGTGAGGCTATGAGTTGTTAGATGCGAATCCAACCCGAATCAAGCATTTCAGAGAAGTTTGTGATGATAAAGCTTTCAAGATTGCCACTTCGCTGAAAGTGGAATAAAATTAAAAATGAAAGTTGCATAAAATTAAAAATGGAAGTTCATTCAAGAAACCACTATACCTTAACGATCCATTTGGAAATTAAATAAAAAAGAAAATTGAATGGAGATGGAAATTGAATAAAAATAGAAGTTGAATAAAAATAGAAATGGAACCTTCATAAAATTAAACATAGAAGTTCATTTAAGAAACCACTATACCTTAACGATCTATTTGGAAAATAAATTAAAAAGGAAATTGAATAGAAAAGGAAATTGAATAAAAATGGAAGTGGAACAAAATTATAAATGGAAGTTCATTCAAGATACCACTATTCCATAACGATCTATTTGGAAATTAAATAAAAAAGGAAATTCAATAGAAAAGGAAATTGAATAAAAATGGAAGTGGAACAAAATTATAAATGGAAGTTCATTCAAGATACCACTATTCCATAACGATCTATTTGGAAATTAAATAAAAAAGGAAATTCAATAGAAAAGGAAATTGAATAAAAATGGAAGTGGAACAAAATTATAAATGGAAGTTCATTCAAGATACCACTATTCCATAACGATCTATTTGGAAATTAAATAAAAAAGGAAATTCAATAGAAAAGGAAATTGAATAAAAATGGAAGTGGAACAAAATTATAAATGGAAGTTCATTCAAGATACCACTATTCCATAACGATCTATTTGGAAATTAAATAAAAAAGGAAATTCAATAGAAAAGGAAATTGAATAAAAATGGAAGTGGAACAAAATTATAAATGGAAGTTCATTCAAGATACCACTATTCCATAACGATCTATTTGGAAATTAAATAAAAAAGGAAATTCAATAGAAAAGGAAATTGAATAAAAATGGAAGTGGAACAAAATTATAAATGGAAGTTCATTCAAGATACGATTTGGGTTGCAAACCGTAAAGATTCTGTTTTAATTTTTGATACATAAAAATATATCTAAACATATAGATATTAAAGATACACTATAAATAAATGAATTGCTTCTTTTAAATGATGGACATGGGTGTAATAGGGAAGATGGTTCTGTCTATGTTTAGTTTCATATATTACGAATAACAATCTTTCATTGTTACATGACACACTTTGTGCATCTTACATGGTTCCTATCTTTCTAGTTGATATAGGTGTATGTTTAATGGAACTCGACAGAAATGAGGTCTCTTGGTGAAGGATACATCAAATTTATAAACCTTTGGACACAAGGATACATAACACTAATGTTGTGTTTGGATCTTGGATTTGTGAAGGGAAAAGGAAAGGGAAGAAATTTGTGGAAAAATTTTGCTTCTATTTCATTCACTTTTCCCTTCCCTTTTTTATTTTTCCTCTACAAATCCAAGAGTTTCCAACTTTTGTTCTCCTATACCCTAGGGTAAAACTTGTGTTCTTAGCTTACAGGCACTTAATATGAGTACCTCATTCATCTCAAAGTCTCAATATGTCAGGAAAATAAACATATTAAGATAGTATCAGTGTCATGTTGTGTTCAACAGAGTTTGATTATGCATTTTGAGGTGTCCCTGTAACATAATTCTAGGCACTTTGGAGAAACTAAAGAGGCTATTCTTGCAAGGATGGATGGATGCCCTTATGATGAGTGTTATGCATCAAAGCTCCAGTTCCATTGACTGTTTTGTATTAAAGCTTGAGTCATGACAGTAAAATTTTGCCTTACTAATCAAATTGATCATTCAACAGTGTGTTCTGCTTATGTAGTTAAATGATTGATTTCTATTCTTATTG